TTATCAACACCGTCTCTGTATCAAATTTGCCAAGGAGCCTGTCATAGATAAACCTTGCATCCAACTTCAAGATGCGGCTGACAGACTCTCCGAATACAAGATACTACTCTTCTTCAGGGATTGGAACAAAAAATGTAATGGATCATCGAACACGTAACGACTTAGGGTAGTTCAGCCTTGGTCGCTAATGTACCAACGCGGAACATCTGATCACGTTTACCGAATTCAGTCGAGTGGGTTTTCTCCAGCGCACGATCTCAGCAACAGGAGGAAGAATTTTAGACATGACATCCCAAAAATAGCGGAACAGCACACCAGGTGGGACAACCGAGCAGAGGCTACCTGAATGGACCACGCACCTGTACTCGCTCGCCTCCAGATTTACCTAGCGACGCGTCACAAAGCGTGATTAACGGAAAAGATCTGCACTAACCGTGGGGCTCNTCTAAAACCATCACGGCGTATTACCATGAACGCCCCAATGTACGAAGCCGTAGATACACAACGGAACACTACCAAAACGTCGATAAAGTAGCAACAATGACAATACTAGGGATCCGGGACCAATATTAAAGGGGCTGAAAATCGGAAAACACCGTAGCTTTTCGCACCAGGGGGGGGGGCGAGATTCTGTTGGGAACCTGAGAATACCGACTTTGTCAGTAATGTTCCCCGGCGTCATTATTCGAGTAATGGAACGGAACTCAAGACTACCATGGAGTACAGCTAGGCCCAGATCTATGGATTACTGACCTCGAATTACGACGGATAATTAGTTGGATCGAACTGTTTGCCAAAGCAACTGCTGCCAAGACCAGCAATCTTCGTCGTTGCGTGGGAAATCTGGAGCTAAGGCAAATATTCGCATTCAACAGGCTACTATCTGAACAGACCGAGGACCAAATCCACAATCGCACCGAAAACGGAAGAATAGCTTCTGTGCAACTAAGAACCGTTGAAAATATTAAAACCAGTGCGCGTGTCTATCGAGGCGCTATTCGCCGTCATCGAAATACGGTTACCTAAGAGCCAAACAGATCAGAATGCTGACAGACTTTGATTACAGTCAAAGCAAGATTTCAGGACCGGATTTCCGCCTAGGCTGCATCCTTACAGAAGGTTTGTGCTGTTTGACAACGAAGAGCCACGATGGCTGATCGAAAAAAGGAGTCCTCGGAGGCCTGGTTATCACCGTGCGCCTAGACCTGGGAGTAGTGTATGGTGTCCGAAATCTCGATCGCCGATGAATATGCACCGAATTATCATTGGAAAACCGAGAATGAGCATCCGTGATCCGAGATCCATGAAGCTAGCTCATCAACCGATAGAAGTAAGCCGCTTAATAGACAATTGAATATATCGGCCTAGCAGAATAACTACTTTATTGATTGAGAGCAAATTTCACGAACAGAGCACGCGTCTCAATGAATTTTTCATTCACATTTGGGGTTTCATTGCGCGAAATCTCGAAAATTGTTCTGAGCGAAATGGTCAGCTGTGCGATCACTACCCCTACTTGTATAAAACACGAGTACACAAACCGACCCCTCGGTAAGGACAGTTCAAATTTGGTTCACCTGAGAATATAAGGCTTGAAGGGTAACGACAGGGGCGTTATGTTTAAAGCTGACTAGTATAGTAACACAGTGCTTTCATCATCACTCGTTACATGTAGTATCTGGTTCACAACTGGCGCCCCAAACGACCTGCTGCAAGCACGGTATAGACTACATTATGGGTCACCCAAGATCCGGGATCGAAGTGACTTGCTGTTTCTCCACTCTCTTATCTACGTGAACGAAGGTCGATGAAATGGAAATAACAACATCGTAGTTCACATTAATATAACCCGCTTCGTTTTACCTGGGATGACTTGGTAGAACAAGTGAGGTCTTTTGAAGCTTTCATTGAGGTGACAAGTGGTTGTGAAGAAAATGAGAAACACATGTATGAATGGGAAGAGAAGGGATGGAAGGTCGACTAACCACCGATTGGGTGGTACGTTGAGGCAGTAGCTAGCATGTACGTACACGCAGGGGTTTGTTTTGTTTTTGAGGCGTTAACCTCCGAGTGGAGCCATGAGATAGTGCCTGCTCGGGTCACTTGAGGATGTGTGGGTTTCTTTGTGTGCAGATCGACTAAAGAACCGAAGGAGAGTCCAGCGAAGATGGTGACAACACCAAACACTGTCCAAATGAGATTGGACGGGAACCCGGCGAAGCTCGAGGTAGTGAAGACCGATGGTGGGGACGGGTAATGAGACGAGTTAACTGACCACATGAGGCTCAGAAATAAAGCGGTCATGTGTAGATTATGGGGGCTAACTGGAACTGGACGCAATATGAAGTTGAGGGCATTCATACGTGAGTACGAATGAGTACAAAAAAGGTGAACAGTATGAGAAGAGATACAGAAAAAAACGGACGAATAGAACAGAGCATAAACGTGGATTGAAGGGATTAACAAGGCGACTGAGAAAACAGTATATGCTGTGTTGTAGGTGTAGGGAG